CTATCAATCTCAGATTTAAAGTGAACAATTGATCTCTTGCCCTTTGTGGAAGAGAGTTCCAAGCATCTATCACCCTTTGCGTGTAGAAGTGCTTCGTAATGTCTCTCCTGAACGGTCTGGCCCTGATTCTCAAACTATGCCCCCAACCCAACCAGTGGACATAGTTTATTTTTATCCACCCTGTCTTTTCCTGTTAATATCTTGAAGATTTTGTTGATATCACCTCTTAATTTTAAATTCTAGAGAAAATAGGCCTAATTTGTGCAATTTCTCCTCATAACTTAACCCCTGAAGTCCAGGAATCATTTTTGTAAATGTACCTTGTACTGTTCCAAGGCCAATATATCCTTCCTAAGGTATGGTGACCAGATCTGTTCACAGTACTCCAAGTAGTTTTGTATAACTGCAGCACAACATCAGCGACCTTATACTCCAATTCCCTAGATATAAAGCCAGCATTCCATTAGCTTTCTTGATTATTTTCTGCACCAGTTTGTGTCATTTTTAAAGATCCATGCTCCCGAACCTGCAAGTCTCTTTGGACATCCCTGAACCCAAGTGTCTTTGGACTCACATTAGTAGCTTCATGAACTATCACTCACACACGTATAGTAGAACTAATGGCTTCCTTCTGTGTAATTCCTTATATGTTTTGATGACTCCACTCTTACTTCCCTGTAAACTCAGCTGTCCTGTCCTAACTTATGCCAAGTTCTGTTCACCCATTAACTTGGTCTCAGCTGGTCCAGCAATTCCCTAATTTTATACTTCTCATCTTTGTTTTAAATACTATCATCACCTGGTCACTCCATATTTCCATAAACTTTGCCAATCATATAACCTCAGACATCTCTGCAGTCCTTTACTTTTGAACTGCTTTAAGCATTTCTGTTTTGAATTGCTGTAACATTGTGGTTGTGTCTTTAGTTGCCTAGAACCTAAGCTCTGTAATGTTTTCCTTCTCTAAGCCTTTTCAACACTCTCTCTTTCTTCAAGATATTGTTTAAAATCTGCCTCTTTCCATTTAAAATATCTCCTTATTTGGCCAAGTATCAAATTTTGTTTGAAAATGTTATTGTGAAGCATCATGTGGTGTTTAACAACATTAATCATAATTTGATTGTTGTGGAAAAATTCTACAGATTTCTGCACAGCAAAGCAAATAATTTACCTGGTACAGAATTTAGTTAAATGCATATTCTGACATTACAGTCTTATTGTCATGGCTAACATAGATCACTCAATGCGAATTAGGACAAATATTGTAATTTAATTGACTGTTCACATAAAGCCTTGTCCTGACAGTGCATTGTTCAAATTGGATAACTAAGGAGTTTTTGCAATATTTCTGTTCTGCTATTTCAGTGAATTTAAGTGGATTGTACTCGTCATCCAGGAAGCAACTCACATCATCATCTGTGGAACAATCCATTCTCAGTAGGGGGAATAAAGTAGTTTCAGCAATTACATTAGAGGGTTCTTTTTAAGTTTAACAACCTGAACGTTCAATTTTCCGAATTTAATAAACATGCGACTAGTAATGATGGCTAAAAAGTGCATAAAGTAATACAACTCCGCAAATAAATCACCTCAGAAATATTGACAATTTAACAATTAGCCTTGATAATTTGTACAAGTGAAAATAATTAATGGTAAATGAGTTATTTTCTTTATTAGTACCTAATAGGAGAGGCAATGGCCTCGTGTTATTATCACCAGACTTTTAATTGCAAAACTCAGCTAATGCTCTGGGGAGCCTGGGTTTGAATCCCACTATGCCAGATAGTGGGATTTGAATTCAATTAAAGAAAAATGTGGAATTAAGAATATACTGATGATCATGAATCCACTGTTGATTGTCAGAAAACCTTATCTGCTCACTAGCTCCCTTCAGGGAACGAAATCTGCTGTCCTTGGCTGGTCTGGCCGACACGAGACTGCACACCCACAGCAATGTGGGTTGACTCTCAATACCCCTCTGGGTAATTAGGGATCGACAATGAACGCTGGCCTAGTCAGTGACACCCACATCCAGTGAATAAATAAAGAAAAAGCTAATTTGCTAAAATGCACATTTTTTTCTATTGCCATTCAGATAATAATGGTGATCTGGTGTGCTGAGAATTCTACACAACTTGGGCAGAGCCACCCTCTGTGTTTAGTTTATTTACATTAGCTGTGAAGCTGAATCCCTATTTTTAACATTGTCTCAAACTGCAGATTTTAATGAAACTGTCTTTTACTTTTTCCTGAGTGAGTGATGCAGGCTAGTTTGCTCTTTCATCTTGTGGTCTTAAAAAGATGGCAGTGGGTTTTCATTTTCAGCTATTGCAGTTTTAGAAAAGATGGCTCTTCAATATGGTGTAAAATTATGTAATGGCTCATTGTCACTAACTCCATCTTTTTCCTACTCTTCTTCGAAACTGGTTAAAGCTAAAGATCACTTCAGAGTATATTAGCAGGCAAACCAAAGAAAGGATAAACCGGCTCTATTAATGAACCCAGTTTTTAAAATAACCAGGCAAATTTCATGTTTTTATTCTCTGCTTTAGGTTAAAAAATTGGTTGAATTAAATTTTAAAGCTTGCCTTGGTTAGATTTGAACTCACAACTTGTCATTAACAGTGTCACACCTCACCATACACCGCTTATGTTGCTAAGCATCAATTTTCAGTACCAAATGTTAATGTGGCTGTAAGATGAGATATTATAGAGTCCCTACAGTGAAGATAGACGCCATTGAGCCCATCAAATCTGCACCAACCCTCCAAGGAGGATCCCACCTATACCACCCTGCATTTACCACAGTTAACCTAGCCTGCACATACCTGGACACAATGGGGAAATTTAGCATGGCCAATCCACCCTACCTGCACAGCTTTGGACCGTGGGAGGAAACCGGAGCACCTGGTAGAAACAGAGCAGACACAGGGAGAATGTGCCGACTCCACACAGACAGTCACCCAAGTCTGGAATCAAATCCAGGTTCCTGGCACTGTGGGTTAACAACTGTTCTATTGTGCCGCCCTTTATGAGATATGTGCAGATAAAGCCAGAATTTTAAAAATAAATGTAAATCTTTCTTGTAAAGCACATTCAATATTGTTAGCCTGTATTTTTGATTTAAAATTCTTGGATTGAAGAACAAGGTCAATTCTGCAGGGGTGAAACAAAATAAGACATATATTTTGTAGTGAGTGTAAATTTAAGATTTCCAGCAATTTTGCTGTTTTACTGGCCTGTGACGATTTCATTATGCTTTATATAATCTCGACAAATCATCTATTTTTCTGAACATGCACAGACATGCGAGTGTCACATGTAAAATTAGTCCCAGAATTTTCTCACCATTTAACTCAGAAGAAAGGTCTTTCAAAATTTGAATTGTTTACTTAGAAAGATTGAACACAGTGATTATTAACAATATTCTGTGACCAGCAAAAAATAAGTTAACCAGTTTGTACCAGGAATTATTTCATTTTAAAACACCATACAACATCACCTACTGTTGCAGTACTTAATGTTTTCACTGGTATATGGGGTATTTGGGCAATTTCAAATTGGCTATAACTCAAGCAAAGGACTCAAGTGATACCACAAATATTAAAAAAAACTCAATTGACTTTTGAATATTTGTCGAAACCTGATGTTGAATGCTGTTTTAAACTGTGTTATCAGTTCTACTATCTAGTGAATACCTGATGTAAACAAAATCTATTTTTCTACTTGGCAAATGATGGGGACATTGAATACAGATGCAATTAATAGCTCAGGTGAAAGTGTTAAGGCAATAGACATGGCAATAAAATTAGATTGCTTCAGTCTTTGACAACATGGTATCAGTATCCAAACTACTGAGGTTTTATTATGTGTGTATATGTTCAGTGACATGATGAGGCAGCTATATTATTAAAGACAGAGATGATTGTTTAAATCGGAAGAGTGAATATTGAGGGTTTGTAACTTTTATCTGACCTCTAAAGTCTGTATAATTACCATCTGGGATACAGTCCAATCTAGCTGTCTGCTTTCCTCTCTGTCACTGTTGCCATTGGTTCATACCAGACAGTGGTTCTTTAGGCAGACAGAATATGCCCTTCAGCAGTTCACTCACATTGCCTTTCTTTGTGGCTAAACCTAGTTAGACTGTTCCACCACAGGAACATTACAGCCGATCATTGCATAGTAATCAGCAGTGGAAACACTGATGTTATTTTTCTCTCTAAGCCAGGATGGCCATAGTGTTGGTGTGATAGAGACCAGCTAAATTCATACCTATCAAGAACTGCATACTGTGTAGTCTGTTCGTGAGCAGGGTTTTCTTATTTGCATGATTATAGCAAGTGTATCAAATGGTTTTGTATTGTTATGATCCTTTTTGTTATACTCCCTATGCAAAGATCAGCAAATAATTGATGTTGCATGATTTTGTGCTTAATGGATTATATCACAATTATCAGTCATTGTAAATTTAACAGTAAATAATTTGCAGTATATTGCTAGGAGGTTTAATATTGATACTAAAAACCCTAGGGTTAATGGCTTTAGCAGACTTCTGCGTTATACTTAAAGGTCAGTGCTACAGCAAATTCTTTGCATGTATGAATGGTTCAATTTGATCACTGGCAATTCCATGTAAATCCAGAAACAAATATAAAATGAATCTAAAGTTCAGTTTGGGTCAGTTGTGGTGCACAGGAAACTGTGTATTCAACTCTTTCATCAGGGACTTGTGCATTGCTGGGTGACTATTGTACTGTCAGGAGCACCATTTCTTGAATAAAATATAAACCAAGGCATGATCTTCGTTCTAAGATGGATGTGAAAGAGCACATGACAAAACTGAAAGAGGAATCATCTTGCTGTATGGTTAATTTTTTATTCTTTGATCAAAATTCTGAAAACTATTTGTCTAATCAGTATTTCTGTTTGAGGGACAATGTGCATGTAGATTGATTACATTTCATAAAGTACTTTATTCATTGTAAAGCACTCCGAGATGTCCAGCAAAACAATGTATAAATGTAGGTTCTTGTTTTCTTGATATTAAAATTGATGGGCAATACAGTTGTGATATTTTTCATTCCTGTTGCTCCAGAGGTGGCGCTGTAACCCCTTTTATTTGCTTTGTCATCCTTCCCTGGTGTCTGCAGTGTCAATCCTCAATCACTTCCGGATCTTTCATCCATTCTGTCTTGCTTTGTGCTCACTTGTTTTTCTGCCTGACTGCAAACAACTCTGCAAGAAGTTCACTAGCAACACAATGTAATCATGTGCAGGAAACTCCTTCAACATAAAATTGACACTTTGTTATGATTTCCTAATAGAGTTGCGCATATTCCAAACTCTAAATAGCAATTCTATGGGTACTCTACAATGCAAAATCAACTAGCACAACAGCAGTTTCTGGCCTACAAATGTATATAAATTCTCAGTAAAAGTGATATGAAATTGTAAACATAATTTGCAGATTGCAGTAATCCAAATTCTACAAATGTATAGTAAACTTTGAAGAAAGTAATAAAATAGTCTAAATCTGAATATCATAAAACAAAATACGAACTCAAAAGAAATGAAGTATGTTTTACAGTTATATTTAGTTACTATTAATATGTTGAAAAATTCCAAAAATATTCCATTTTTACTTGTTTTCCATAATCCAACACTGCAACATGTTCAACAGTTCATATACTGTCAGAATGTTCTGACAGCTGGTGGCTACATTTTATTTGTGAATTTCCCACATATATTGACTTGGACACAGTTATAGTGTGACAAGATCAGATGTAAGACTTACTCTTACATTTTGCTGAAAATTTGTAATTCTTCCAAGTAACCAAGCTGCAGGCTAAAGAAAACTGTTGAAAGGAGATAAACGAAAGAGATTCTACCATCCATCAATGGGATGTGGACATCACTGTTAAGATCAGCATTCATTTTCTATTTTGAATTCCTCTTGAAAATGGTGTTAAACTGCTGTCTTGAAAAGCTAAACTACATGTGATATAGGTACATGGGAGGGAGGAAAGGAGTTTCATGAATTTGGTCCAGCAACAGTAAAGGAATGAAATATAGTTACAAGTCAGGATTGTACACAGTTTGATGTGAAATTTGCTGGTGGTGGTCTTTCAATGTGTTCTTCTAGTTACTAGAGACCATGGGTGTGGGACATGCTGTCAAAAACATATTGGCAAACTGCTGCTCTGTATCGAGTAGATTATACAGACAATTGCCACTGTTTGGCAAGGGTTGAACATTGAAGATGGTGGATGGGATTCCTATCAAGGTTGCTACTTTGACTTACATAGTGTTGAGCTTCTTGAGTGTTGTTGGAGTTGAATCCATCCAGGAAAGTGCAGAGTATTCCATACACTCCTGATTTGTGCCTTATAGCTAGCAGACATAGAAAGGAGCCAAAAAGTGATTTGCCAAATGTATAATTCTCAGTGTCTCACCTGCTCTTGCAGTCCAGTATTTAAGGGGTTGGTCCAGTAAAATCTCTGGACAATGATAATCTCCAGGATGTTGATGGTGGGGCATTCAGTAATTTTTATACCATCGAATGTCAAGAGGAGAAGGTTAGAATCTTGTCAGCTGGAGATGTTCATTGCCTGGCACCTGTGATAGGGTTAGGGTTAGGGTTAGTAATGAAGCAGTAGAAAGTGGTTCAGGCTCAGAAAACACACTGAAGAACTCTGCAGCAAAGTCCTGGTATTGAGATTACTTGCCTACAAAAATCACAACCATTTTCCACAGTGCTAGTTGTGATTCTAGCCATTTGATAGTTTTACCCCGGATTCTCATTGACTTCAATTTTACTGGAGCTCCTTGATTTCAGACACAGTTAATGCCTCAATGTAAGGGCAGTCACTCTCACTTAATTTCTTGAGTTCAGCATTTTTGTCTGTGTTTGGATCAAAGGCTATGCAGCATCAACTGGGCTGGGTATGGTCGTATCTTATCCAATACTTACATTGGCGCCATGTGGGCATCCTGTTTTATTCTTATTTGACTTTTGCATAGTGGCTTGCTAAAGCTGAGTGTTAGAGGATAGTTAAGAGTTAGCCACATTGCTATGCATATTTAGTCACATTTAGACCAGATGGGGTAAAGCTGGCAGATTTCTTTTCCTGAAGAGCATTAGTTAATCTTGGGGGTTTTTTTTAGCAATCCAGAAGGTCATGATTACAGTTACTCACTCTTTTTATTCCAGATTTATTGAAGTAATTGAATTCAAATTCCCTCAGCTACCACTGTGGGATTCAAGCTAATTTCTTGAGATCAGTAGTTACTGTTCAAACAAATATTCAGTTAGAAAGTTTAGAATAGATCAGGTTGTAATATGAAGAAAGAAAAAATAATTAACATTGAAAGAATGAAATAGGAAATGAGGAACTAAGTAATCAAACTGAAGCATAAAAGTTTCAATTTTAAATTTAATCTAAAATTGCTCTGTAGATACTTTTTCTGGTTCGAATGATTGGCTGTAACAAAATAATAGAAAATGTTTATTCCCAATATTTGTTCAGGATTTAATTGTGTGAACTAAAAACTTAAGAAACTGACCACATAGGAGTACAAAATATCCTTGATGCTCGTATTAGGGTTGCAAAAGTTAGTCTAATTGTACCCAATCAGGATGGGTTGTGAAGCACAAGTTTATAATATATCTTCCTTATCATATAAAAAACTTCTGAGTCATTCAGAGGAAAGTGGTGGATGCAACAAATGTCAGACCCAGGTAATTGAAATAGTGAAGAAAGCATTTGGTATGCTTGCCTTTATTGGTCAGTGCACTGTGTATAGAAGTTGGAAGGCCATGTTGCAGCTTTACAGGAATTGGTTCGGCCACTTTTGGAATACTGTGTCCAATTCTGATTTCCCTGCTATAGGAAGGACGTTGTGAAACTTGAAGGGGTTCAGAAAAGATTTACAATGATGTTGCCACATTTGAAGGGTTCGGGCTATAGGGAGAGGCTGAATAGGCTGGGACTATTTTCCCTGGAGCATTGGAGGCTGAGGGATGACATATAGAAGTTTATAAAATCATGAGGGGCATGGATAGAGTGAATAGCCAAGGTCTTTTCCTTGGGGTGGGAGAGTCCAGAACTAGAGGCCCTAGGTTTAACATGAGAGGGGAAAGATTTAAAAGGGACCTAAGGGGCAACGTTTTCATATAGAGGGTGGTGTCTGTATGGAATGAGCTGCAAGAGGAAGTGGTGGAGGCCTGTACATGTGGATAGATATATGAATAGGAAGGGTTCAGAGGGATATGAGCCAAATGTTGGCACATGGGACTAGATTAATTTAGGATATGTGGTCGGCATGGACAAGTTGGAGTGAAGGTCTGTTTCCATGCTGTACAGCTCTATGACTCTATGATTCTAATTTTGTAAATTATTCAATTTTACAAGGAACGCAGACAATGCAGTGAGTGATTTTTCTCCTTTCAAAGTGCTTAGTCTTTGATTACTCCCGTTCAGCCAACCTTATACCTGCCCATGCATGTCACAAAAGGCAGATAAGGAATGTCAGTTAACCCATCTAACAAGTCTCCTCAGAAACTGATTTGTCTTCTCCCCCACATTCCCGCCCTCTCACTAACTCCATTACCCACTCTAAATCCCATTCACCCCTTTTAAGCATGCTTTGAATAAGATGATTTCTAATGTCAACGTACTGTAGCCAAATTTACAGGTGACACAAAGTAGACAGAACGGTATGTTGCAAGACAGATGCACACAGTTTACAAGAAATATTGGTAGGTTAACTAACTAGGCAAAAAGTTAGCAAATAGCTGTATAATGTGGGAAATGTGAAGTTGTTCAGGGAGAACAAAAGAACTGTGTACTACTTAAGTGGAGAAACACTGCGGAAAGGTATAACGCACAGGGACTTGGGAGTACTTGTTCATGAAACACAGAAAGCTAGCACTCAGGTACAGCAGGTAATCAGGAAGGCTGATGGAATATTGGCCCTGATTTCAAGGGACTTTGGGCATATGAGTAGGGAAGTCTTATTGCAGCTGTACAAGGTGCTGGTGGGACCACATCTGGAGTACTGAAAGTAGGTTTGGTCTCCTGATTTAAGAAAAGGTATAATTTGATTGGACTCAGTTCAGAGAAGGTTCAAGAGGATGATCCCCAGTACAGGGGGATTGTCTTCTGAGCAAAGGCTGAACAGGGTCAGACTCTACCCACTGGAGATTAGAAGAATGAAAATTGATCTCGTTGAAACATATAGGATTCTTAAGGCGCTTGAGAGGGTAAATGCTGAGAGAATGTTTTTTTTCATGGGAGAGTCTAGGACCAGACGGTATGGTTTCAGAATAAAGGGGCACCAATTTAAGATTGGGATAGAAGAAATTTCTTCTCTTAGAGGGTTGTGAGACTTTGAAACTCCTTGCTACAGGGAGATAAGGAGACAGAGTCCTTATGTACATTGAAGGCTGAGAAAGATAGATTGTTTCAAGGGGGGTTACAGGAAAAGCGCAGAAAGTGGACATTAAGAATGTTGGATCACCCATGATCCTATTGAATGGTGGACTAGCTTCAAGGGGCTGACTGGCCTCCTGCTGTTAATATCTCTTATGGTCTTGTGGTAACATTGCATTATCTCCTTTCTGTTGAGGTGGAAGATGTTTTACCTAATTATTATGATCTGAAAGTAGACTAAGAATTTGGTTAATTATAGCTCATTAGCACTTGAATGATACTTATCTCCAATAGCCATACTTAAGCAATAAAATTTATAAAGGCAATTGATAAGGACAGATTTACGTGTTACAAGATAACTTTTTTTATTCTTTCTGTTAGGAGTAGATAAGGATACTTTGGTAGTGTCTATTCCTTTTTCTAACAATTAAACTATTGATAATGAGTTTGAAGAGATATCACACACCAGTAACTATTTATCATTTCAATAATAAACCTGCACAACTAGGTAAAAAAAAAATCACACAACACCAGGTTATAGTCCAACAGGTTTAATTGAAAACGCAAGCTTTCTGAGCTCAGCTCCTTCCTCAGGCATAGTGTGAGAGAGAGGGTATAAGACACAGAATTTATAAGCAGAAAGGTAACAAATCTAAAACTGGCCACCTCTTATTGAAACTTTAATCAGTTAGGAAGGAGACTATTGATTAAAATTCAAAATCTAGATTCCTTTCAAGTCATTGTCCTGAGATAATTAAAGGTTTTATCAATGTCTGCAAGAGGTGACATCTCAGGTCAAACAATGCATTTTAGGTGTGAGGTCTTGCTTAGAATCAGTCTATATTTTAAACTAGGGTCAGGTTTTTTTGAGCAAAACAGAATGTATCTGCAACAACACCAACATCTTGGATGAAATAATTCATGGGTGTGTCTGTGTCTGTGTGTGCGTGTGTCCATGTCTGTGTGTGAGAAAGAGAGAGACAGTGAGTGTGTGTGTGAGAGAGAGAGAGAGAAAGATTGTGTAGTTGCAGATACATTCTGTGTTGCTCAAAAAACCAAAACCTGATCCCAGTTTAAAATATAGACGGATTTTAAGCAAGACCTCGGACTTAAAGTGCATTGTCTGACCTGAGATGTAGCCTCTTTTATACATTGATAAAACCTTTAATTATCTCAGGACAATGACTTGAATGGATTCTAGATTTTGCATTTTAATCAATAGTCTCCTTCCTAATTGAATAAAGATTCAACAAGAGGCGGCCAGTTTTAGGGTGGCTACCTTTCTGCTTTTAAATTTTGTGTCATGTACCCTCTCTCACACTATGCCTGAGGAAGGAGCTGAGCTTGTGTTTTCAAATAAATCTGTTGGACTATAACCTGGTGTCATGTGATTTTTGACCTTGTCCACCCCAGTTCAACACCAGCATCTCCACATCCTGGCTGCAAAACCAGTTCATTGCTAAGTTTTGTTGAACTGTTTTAAAAATGTTTTTAAAGTTTAGCATGTCAGATGGGCCATAGAAGATTTAATTAACCATCAGGAGTTATCAATGTATTTCAAATAAATTCAGTTAAAATTCTAATATTTGTTTACTTCTTGATCTTTACTAATCATATGTTTAAAAGCTCTCAAAACAAAGTCAAGTATTAATCGTCCTAATTGTTCAAAATTATAAATTGGCATGATAAGTTTGCAGTGTGCATTGTAACAAACAGATTAAGATTGAATTGAGAGTAAATATTGTTTCTTCTTAGTTTACTTCCCTAGTTATCTCAAAATCTTGGGAAAGCTAAGGTAATTTCAATAGCTAACACAATTGGCACAATGTTGCTAAAAGTGAGATCTGCGTGCAGATTTCCTAATATATTCAGGTAATTCATTTAGTGTGTCTATGCTTTATTTTATGGATGTTTGGTGAAAATATTTATTTAATCAAATAATTTACAAAGGAAGCCATGTTTCCACTCATCTCAAATGCACCATAGTGATGACAAAGTGTTAGAAAGCTACTACAGGACTGGAGAAAAGAGGCTGCCATCAGGACTTTACAGTTGCAGTTTACTTCAAATTGAACATTATCCCAACAAGATTGCAATGTGTACACAGTTCTTTCCTTATCTTACATTTTCGCTAAAATGTGGATAACATGATAATTAGTTTGAACTCATAGGCACTACAAACAA